CAATATCTGGGAGGTATATAGGAGCTATATTTTATCTAAATTGGTCCATCTTGCCAAATCCATCGAGAAAAAAAGGTATCCTAAAATTAGTCACGGATCTCATGAAAATGACTCTACTATAGCAAAATACATTAAATGACGAATTTGCAATAACAATACCGTATGTCATTGTGCTTAAATTAGAAACCTATAGTTATACAGGTTTGAAAATGAAAGGGGAAGATAAGCCACCTTGCCTTGTACCCTTACGAATAGCAAATTCTCTACCAAACAATTTTGTCATTAACTTTAACACGCAAAGTGAGCTTATGGTACCAAGTGCCTTCATAATTCCTCCCCGTCGTATCTGAGTGACCTAATTCACCTTCGCTCAGCAACCTGTTCCAGAAATCTGCGGTCTAACACTAGCTAGAATACACTTTTTACTCCACGGTGCCACGTGAAATACGGAGAGAGGTCTTTTTGGGTTGCTGTGGAATGAACTTCCAATCTACACTCGGGAGTCTTCCTCTCTCTCTCACTCTCTCTCTCTCTCTCTCTGTTTTTAAGCAGAGCCTTAAATCACACCTTTTCCTTTCTCTTTAATTTATTTTATCTCTGCTTTCTGTTATTTTTCACTTTTGTTGTTAGGATAGGCTACACTAGATGGGTCTCAAATTGCAGGTGAACGGTGCGATAGTGTTGGTGAATTCCTTCTGCGTTAGTCTGTTTCGGTTGTTGTTTTAGCTTGGTTCGCTTAGGTGACCCTCTTGAATAGATTTTATTTTCTGTTTTTCTGTTCAGCGCATAGAACCATGTACTGTATTTAAGTCTCCAACCATTACATTACCATTTTGGATATATGAAATAGTCTTGAATTAAAGTAAATATGAAGTACCAGATAGTGGGTGGGGGGAGGGGAAGCTCTCTCCAACGGAGGGCCCTATCCCCCGGCCACCACTGGCGCCACCCCTGGAAGATACTTTACTGATTGTCTAATATTTAAATTTAAAAAGATAATGAATAATAAAAAAAATATGACCAGGAAAGCAGTGGTGACACCTGGGGAGGGGCCCAGGGGGCTATTACAGCCCCCTCGTCGGGGAAGCTTAATTAATCGATTTTAGTGTCTGCAAATATGTAGAAAATACATATAATTTTTTTTCCTCCACGACGATGGGGGGAAGGGGCCTGGAAGCCGCCCGCCACCCTTGCACTGTGGTAAAAATTATTATGGATGGCGAATTTAAGGGGGTGGGGAGCCGGCCTAGGTCTCCATAAATTTGTCAACATTTTTTTTTAAATGGAGAGAAAAGGGCAATAATAATTTCCAACCATCTTGAGGTGTCATAATCATAAATTGTCTTACACTCAGTCCCAACCATGGTGGGGCACAGGTAGTCCTGACCCTCCATTTATGAAAGTCCTTTGATGGTCCCTCCTCTCTTTCACATTCATTAATCCGCCACAGGATAGGACCACACTTGGCATTCATTTGGTCCTTTTCCCATGTTTATATCCTGAGTTAGTAATCTATTGTAAAAGTGTAATCATTTCAAATTTACATATTATTATTTTTGTTCGATTTCCTTCTCAGAAATTAATGGGTAAATTGAAGCTATTGACTGACTACAGCTTTACCTTGGTACCTATTAAAAAAACAAAATTTCGTCCAATAATCATACCTAGCTTCGTAGGGTCCCACCCATCGGGCAGACCCTGGCGCCATCACTGCAGGAAAACTATGCATACTGGTATAGTTATAC